CGATATGTAGGTATATAAAAATTTTAATTTAGAGGTATGAATGTATAAACATCAAATTTTCAATGACTGATAAAATAAATCGCAATTTGCAATTTTTATTTAAATAATAATGTTTTGGCAGTATTTAGACATTGAAAGTGATCTTATCACATACCGACAACTGACGCATATGTACTTAATTACATACTCGCATGTGTTTGAAATATAGCAGTAAAAATTTCACTTGGCCGGATGTAGTACTTTTATAAATAGTACTTCGTTGTAGGTAGGGATGTTTTGTTTTTTTCGCCTTTTACCATACCGGGATTTTCGAGATGCCCTTATCACAATCCCGGGATCCCGAGATTAGTCGTACCATAAAATAAATAATAAATAACTGGGTTTGAAAACTACTTTTATTTAAAGAGGCGTTTTTATTTCCTCTCTCTGACGTCAGTATTTATTCCAAAAATTATTTTAAAAAGTCAATGCAATGTAGAATAAAAAATATGGGTACCAAGTTAAAGAGGAAATTTCTTTAAAATTTGGAATAATTAAAATTTTTTGAATTCACAAAGACGAATAGGTAACTTTTTAAGCTGATAAAGTTAGAAGGACAAAATTCGAGGATGTTATCGAATTTATATCAGTCCTTAAAATATAATTTTTTCACAAACAAATATTGCGAAATTTCAAGGATAAAATTTTAAAAGGACATTTTCAATACACCAGTCGTTATGCACCAAAAAATTGAATCTGTTTTTCTCTAAGCGCATTTCACTGAATTTTTTAAATCATTTTTGATTTACTGACGTCAGGGTGAAAAACTAAAAACGCAATTTTTTTATATTTGGTCCCTGGTCTCGCGAATATATTGATTTTTTTTTGTAATATTTACTATCGGACGGTGTTATATGTAGACATTTATAAAAAATATGAATTATCAAATAAAAAAAGAAATATACCCAATACTGTTGAAGAAAAGGAGTTTCTATTATTGCCATCAGTGCAAATTACAAATCCCGAAAATCCCCGGATTATTTACCAAGAATCGCAGGATTTGCGGGACTTCAAAAAGGCCCGGGATCCCGGGATTAACATTCCTAGTTGTAGGCCATCATTCAAAACACAAATAAAAATTATAAATTGGCATATTGTTATTTAGCTTTGTACCACGATTATGCTTATTAGGAAAAATGGAAAAAGCAACAAAGTCTAAGCGGTTGAAGTTATAGCAGCTATTTCGGAGATCACCCCACATCTCCTCATCACACTCCTTTTTTTTCAAGACTTCAGCAGGGATCGAACGCGCGCCATCGATCTGCAAAGTCAGAAGCGTTAACCACTGAGCTATGCACACCCCGTAAGCTCTTGCTGCTAATTAATTTCCTTATTCAACCTACTGCTATCAAGTGCTGCTGATTTGCCGCTATTTAAACTGCATTTGCTTTGTTGTATAGTTTCAGGCAGGCTCTTCCTGGCATGGTTTTCATTTCTTTTACATGCATTCATACATACATACATATGTACATATTAACATACTTTCGTGCGAAATATTCGTTAATTTTTTATACAAATATAGCAATTTATTCAATAAAATGCACGTTAATCCGATTTTCGAATTTTAAGCAAATTCAAAAAAATAATGTAAACAAAGGGGTGCGCTTTCCTAATGACCTTCAGTAAATGAGGTAATGATATTTTTGGAAAAATTTTGGGTGGAAGCAAAGTCAACAAAAAAAAAGCCAAAAATCTACGGTATTCTGTAGACACTTGAAACATGCACTTTATTGCATGGACTACACATTTTTCTAAAAAAAAATTAAATATTGGTGAAAATTTCTTGATTTTTATCATTTTCGTATAAAATTTTAAAATCGGTTTAACATATAATAAATATTAAATAAACAAGAGGACAACTGTAAATACTTAGGATTAAAAGGGTGCGCTATTCAAATGACGAGGAGTGTACTTCTCAAGTGCAGAGTCTATGTATGTATATGTTACCGGCCAAACCCGATCTTAGGACAAACTAGTTTTTCCTAGGCTAAACTAGTTCTAATTAGATCCGATACATCCATCCAACGCGGAATAAAGTTTGCCGCAACAATATTGAGGACTGCGTTGCTGGAGTTGGACTGATGAGGGTTATTTTTTTGAAGCACTGCTGAAGGCCGAAAGGAGCTCTGCTCAAAAATACTGTGGCGCCTTATATAGTTTATTTAGCCTAGGCAAAACTAGTTTGTCCTAAGATCGTGTTTGGCCAGTAACATATACAAAAAAGGTGCAAAATTTGTATATGATTACCATGACACATTCAAACATTTAAATATACATAAGTAATATAAGCAGAGAGGTTTACTAAATTAAGTCGCCAATGTTCAATATATTTTCGTTATCTGTTATGTAGACTTGCAACAATTCAGGGCTCACTAGCTTATTTATAGCTTCTTAAATGCCGTCACACATGCTTAGGTACGATAATTATCTACAAAAAGGGTAAAAATCGTTGGCAAAGATGTGCACTAGGGATGTTAATTTTTCAGTTTCTTCCGATCCCGGGATGTCGTCATCACAACCCGGGATATTCATTACTTTCCAAAAACTTAAATCGAAAAAATTGCTTCTATATTGCTTATGAAGCTCTCCTATCATAAAATAAATAATAAATAAATGGATTTGGAACCTACTTTTTTATTTAAAGTGGCGTTTTAATTTTTTCTCTCTGACGTCAGGATTTATTTTAAACGACTTTGTAGTTTCAAAGATATGATTAATTCCAAAAGTTATTTAAAAAAATCAATGCAATGTAGAACAAAAATATGGGTACCAAATTCAAGAGAAAATTTCTTAAGAATTTAAAAAAATTAAAATTTTTTTGATTCACAAGGTCGAATAGGTAATTTTTTAAGCTGATAAAGTTAGAAGGACGAAATTCGAGGAAAAAATGATAAAAGTACATTTTCAATACTTTCCAGTCCTTCTGCACCAAAAACTTAAGTCTGTTTAAGTTCTACAGGATTTCCTCTTTAATTTTATACCCAAACTTCTTCTCTAAGCACATTTCTCTGAATTTTTTAAATCATTTTTGAATTACTGATGTCAAAGTGAAAAACTAACTAGTAAGAAAGTCTAAGTTCGGGCGGAGCCGAACATTAAATACCCGGCGCAAGTATTAAATATATGTTTTTCACCTGTCCGAAAGCTGCCGCTACATGGATGTATCAATTTTGAGTAAATTAGCGTCCTTAAATTTCGAAATATTGAGGTTTCAAGCATTTCTGAAATTTACCGTTATATGAAAAGCGGCCACAATTTTGGTCCGCTTACAATAATTTTCAACGTTTTGCTTTTTGTGGCAAGCACAAGAATCATACCGAGTTTGGTACAAATTGGTAGAATGGTTATCGAGATACATATATGTGATCATAAGTGGGCGGTGCCACGCCCATTTTCCAAAATTTTACCAAAAACGTATTTCTTGGTAAAGAATTGTTGCAAGCATCAATTGTGAATAAATTAGCTATAATATTTACTTATTTATCGAGTATTTCGTATTTCTCTAAATTACCGTTATATGGGATGTGGGCGTGGTTATTGTCCGATTTTAAAAATTTTCGGCCATTTAATATGCTGTACCAAGGCCAACAACTGTGCCAAGTTTGGAAGAAATTAGTGCAGCGGTTACCAAGATATACACATGTAACCATAAGTGGGCGCGGCTACGCCCATTTTCCAAAAATTTATAATATTCTTAGTGCACTTACTAAGTTTCGTTAAGGCACCTAAATTTTTATTTTTTATTTTATTGTGTGCACAGACGGACGTACGGACAGACAGTCACCACTTAATCGATTTCTCTTTTCATTCTGATCATTTATGTATACATTTGTCTATATCTATCTCGATTCGTTTTGCCTGTTACAAACAACCGTTATGTGAACAAAGTGCACAAGTGCGCTCGGGTATTAAAAAAAAAATATACCAATATTGGTCAAGAAAAGGAGTTTCTATTATTGCCATCAGTGATAATTACAAATCCCGAAAATCCCGGGATTACTTGCCAAGCGTCCCGGGATTTTTGGGACCTGAAAGAGGCCGGTATTCCGGGATTAACATTCCTAATGTGCACCATTTGAACAAATACCTATTAAAATTAAATTTGTGTTTTCACTGATTGAAAAATCACTAATGGCAATTTTCTGCTATCAGTGTAGCGCCTTACTTCAAACACGTGCCGTTCAAATGTACAAACTAAAAACTGCAGTCAGATAACATACAAAGTATCATGACCAAGGATGAAGCAAGCAAAAAAGGGGGTGTTAACGTAAGGAAGAATGCTACAAACTAACCTACACATTTTCACAAAATTAACAAAATGCAACAAGAGTGTCAATCATGTGTGTATTTCATATGTCTGGTCTGTCATAAGGGTTTCCGGCCTTGGCAAAGAGTAATTTTCAAATCATGTCAAATAACTATGAAATAGTGATAAGATTATTTCGTGAAGGCAAATTACTAACCGTAGGTATCTGCTATAGTTGCTATCAAAGAAAACATTAGTTTGAAGCAAGTTAAAAACGACGCTGCGAGCTAAGTAATATATCCACCTATGAAAAAAAGAGATGAGGAGCGAAACCCCCTGATACCTTCAGCAGCTAATTTGGAGCCGTCATATGCACATACATACATACATACATATAGTAGCAGAACAATAAGTAGATAAATCAATTCATTGTGAACAAACTTAAAATTCAAGCACAAAACGCAAAACAAATAAAGTCAATAATTTAGTATTTACTTGATTTGCAAAGGTTTATCTTGTATACTATATTTCTTAATAGCTCTTCTGGCTCTTATGTAATCAATGATAAGAGATTATTCTATTCAGTATTTTCTTACAGTATGTGTGCATGTACATATCTCTTCATTATGCACATACATATATGTAAAAGTCTATTTCTTAACGAATTTAAAATCTAAACTAATAATAACTTATTTTTCATTATTTCTTCTTCTAGACGGAATCCCTCAAAATCTCTACAGATTCGGACTTACATGATTGGTTTATGGAACGTGATATGAAGGATCCGGCTGTAATGATCTTAAATGACAAGCTCATGTCAGATGCTTTATTTAATTTGCAACCCATCAAGTCAGAACACTCCTACAGTTTGAATAGTGATGGCGATTCATTGCCGGATTCGCCACGCAGCCTGCAAACGAAAATGGATGGTGAGTTTTTATAACACAGTTGTTTAATTGGTCATAAAGTGCTGCAAGTAAAAGTTTTTGAGTTATTCAAAAACAAACAAAAAATGGCTGGAACCGATAATATTTATTACTTAAATATACGTAACTTAACTTTAAAGGGCAGGCAGACTTGAAGTTCCTTGTGTGCAGGGTTGCGTGATTTTTAGTTAGTCAAATCCCAAATCCAAAATTAAAATTGATGTCTGAACTGAAAGTGGTACAATGCATGTACATATTCTAAATAATATAAATTTATTACTTGTTCGGCGAATTGAATCAGGAAAAACATTTTTTTGTGGTCTTTGATAAAAAACCAAAAAAAAAAAATTATTTAATTTGTTATTTGAGCTGTCGAACAAATCAATCTTTTCGTGATTTTCCAACTGAAAGATTTTTTTTTATGTAATGCAAGCAGGGTTTTCGAGAAAATAAATTTTATTTCTTATTTTGTTGTTGAATCAAATTACAAAGAAGATGTCTTTGTAGTCCAAGGAATTTTTTTACAATTAAGGTACAATTAAGTTATAGGTAAAGCACAGGCATGCGATACAAGTAAAGGGTGTAATTTTAATCCAAGGTCACCATAACAATTTTTTTTTAAATTTTTCTCAAACTTTTTGTTCACGGAATCAATGATTATAGACTTAACTTAAAATTCCCAAAAGCAACGGAAAGACACAACTTTCCGCTTTTCAACGAACATAAGATTTTCAGATTCCATTGAAAACTGTCCGATTTATGAGCGGTGTTTCAACCCAAAATTCCGCATTTTAATTTTTTGATCATACACAACTTAAGATTTTGGAGGTGTATTTGAAATTCTGCTAATGCCAAAATAATTTTTTAGATTTGTTCTACCACTTCTACCATGATATAAAAAGTACATGCAACATTTTTTTTTTGTAGCACCGTGTTATCTTTCAATTTCATTCATATAATTAGCACTCGACAAACATTGTTTGCAAAATGAGCTCCATTATTGCAGCCTTGTTGCAGCCTTCGTAAAGAGGCGGAGCTAAATATGTAAAAATATGATGTGTATTTGTGTGCAACATGCTCGCACACTTCTTCAACAAAGGTTATCAGAATAACATAGAAATTGTGATTTCCGAGTAGGAGATATTAGTGTTGTTTTGAATCAATTATGCGGGTACACTAGGCAATTACTAAAATACATGAACTAATGCACGATTCAATGAATTTACAGCACATAATTCAATACATATGTGTGTATACATATGGATATGTATACATATACGACATCTAACTATGCAAAAAACACTAAAAATAAGATAATTACCAATGTCTTTTCATTGCTTAAGAAGTTTCAATGATTTCATTGTTTTTATATATATTTTTTAGCAAAAAAAAAGTGAAATATTTCCAGATTGTCAATTTTAGGTGAAAAGGATTTTTTATTTAAATAGCTTATTTCTCCAAAAGGGTTCAAATGGCATATATGAAAAGTTGTTGCCGAAGTAAGATTAAACAAAACGCCTGCCTTCCAAGAAAAACTCCACGTTAATATCATGAAGAAGGTGGAGAAAACCTCAACATTAGCTTATGTGATAAACGAGTTTTAAAGTGATATGCAAATGTTTAAAAAGCATGAATTTAGTGTTAAAAATCAGTACAAAGTTTACCCGTTAGTATAGTTTTTTTCTAACAGTTTCTAAACATATTTATTCCTTTAGATTTCGTTAAAAAAAGCGACATTCTGGACAATATTTTACAAAAATGCAAAAACAAGAAAACAAATATAAATGTTTGAAGAGCCTGAAAGCATTTTCGTATTCTGCACAAATTTTCACGTACGTAAACGATTTTTTAATTAATTAAATTTCAAAGGATAAAGTAACCAATCTTCAAAAAATAAAAATAAAAAATATCTGCCATGCACACTTTTTTGGAAATTGCGCACAAAAGAAATTATTGGGCATAATTTATACATATATAGGCTTATGTACATACATATGTATGTATTTCAACATTGAAATCGTATGCACTTTATCGCAAACCGTCTATCTCTACACTGCTGACAATTTGCTGCTTTTAAGTTTCGCAACAAAATATTAAATTTTACACAAATTGTCGTACATTTCTAATGTTTTTTTTTTTTTATATACACTCTTTATCGAACTAAATGGAAATTTTTCAATTTGTACATATGTATGTATCAGGGATGTTGCGAATTTTTGCATTCGCATTCGTTATGCGAATGATTCGCATCATTTTACACATTCGCGTTCGCATAAAAAGATACGAATGTTTTGCGAATGCCAAAGTGTACATGGGCAGAGAGTTCACTCTAATATTGTTGAAATGGCTCTAAGTCTGTCTAATCAGGGTGCGGACCATAACCGGCTTTTAGCTAGAGGCGCTTAGACTTTGTTGCTTTTTCAATTTTTCCTAATAAGCAATCGTGGTACAAAGCTCAATAAAAATATTAAAAATAAAACTAGTTCATAGTTTGTCGGTATGTATTTTTTTGATTATTTTTCGGTTTTTGTCTTCTTTTGCCTTTTTTGCGAGTTCCAGTGCCTTTTCCTGTCTATTTCGCTATATTATTTTGGATTTTCTAGCCTATTTCATTATTTGATTATGCCTTTTTTATAGGTTTTTAGGTCCTAAAAATCCGTTCCCCGCTTATACGCAACCTAGAAATAATTTTAGACTCCTCCAGCGAAAGCGAAGGATCCGATGTAGAATCTGGAGACATTATAAAATGAGCTTATCTCGGTGAAAATCCCCTCGAATGGTGGAAAACTAAACTGAAATACGACAAACTGACAGATCTGTCCCGCAAATATTTGTTCAGTGCAACCGGCCTTATATACGAGCCTTTAAGAAATCGTCTCATGGGAGAAAAGGCAGCAAAATTACTTTTTTTTCAAATATAATATGCCGCTTTTGAACTTTGACTTGTATTAGATTAAAACACTGTATAGGTTAAGCACACGTTCAATGTTCTAAACATCTATATTGGCAATAAACTATCTGCGCAATGTGTTTAGATCAGCAATCAAAGGGAGATAGTTTTGAGCCAAATGTACGGTTTGCACATGCGTAGATTTTTCATGTATTAGTAGTGACGAATCCATTCAGGCGAATTTGACATATCCTCAGTAGGGTTTGAAAAAAAATTTGAACGGGATTATTTTACTCTGGGGTGCTTAAGCCCTTTTGTTGACGTTGTTTACTTATACAAACTAAAAGTTTATGAATAAAGATTTTATTTTAAAACTACCTGGAAATTAAAAAACCGTTTTGAAAATGTTTAGAATAATTAGCACTTAATTATTTTGGAATGTTTAATTCAAACGTATATTTCCATTTTTCGCTGAGTACAAATTTACTAACTAACCAGGTAAAAACGAATAAATAACTATAAAGACTCATCAAAATTGTAGTGATCTTTATATAATATTATTTTTTATAGAAGTACAGCTGATTATCTAACACAAACTATATAAATCCAAATTCTAAACTTTGTGCAAAAATTAAAAAAAAAATCAACAAATTTTCATTAGAATTGCAAACTTTTTAGCTAAAATTTCTAGAAATACGCATGTATGTAAAGCTATATATATATTATTAATTTATGCCCTCTTTTTTCGCTTAAAAAGCATCTCAGCGACATTTATACAATTTATTTTACTATAAAACTCATGAAATTAAATGAAAACTCAAAATTCTCTGTAATTTTCCTTTAAGGTACCGCCACTGCGATTTGTTTTAATTTCAAGTGTCATATTTTGCATACGATTACTTGGTTTTCGTTTTCTTTTTAACCGACTTCCAAAAAAGATATATATATATATATATATTTTTTTTTTAAGTCGGTTTTTTTTTTTGCAAAAAATTACTTGTTTTATATGTCTGTACTGTAATGTTTGCTGACTGCACTGTAGATGCTGCCAATATAGAAGTATTACATACATATATGCTAATAATTAACAAAATTTGTAAGTAATAAAAACGATGACTTAAGTTGATTATAGCTTCTTTAATGTTATTCCTAACATTCGCATTCGCATTCCAAAAATTCGGATTGTGAAAAATATGACATTCAAAACATCCGCAGTATGTATGTATTTATTAGGAAAGTGGAAAGCAAATTTATCACGATATTCGTGCGGATGCATGTGTTTTTGTCACAGTCACTAGCCAAGTGCAGTGAGGCGGTGAATTGATTGGAACATTACTTGGGTAATGGAGTTTTTTGTGTTTCATTTATTTTCTGTTTAATAATTTCCAGTGCTTCTACACAGACAGCATTGAGCAATTCGCTATATACTCCACTTCATTATTATTTTTTTTTTTTGTGTTAAAGTACGAAATTGTTAACAGCTATACATGTAGCAGCGCTGAATAACTGTATGTAAAAGTACAAAAAATAAAAACAAAAGGGCGAAGTATCACTCCGCTGAATACTGTACTTTAAAGTTAAAACCAGAGCGCGCAATCATTATGAGTTTATCAAAAAAAAAGATATTCAATCATTATTTTAATATTTTAAAATTTGCGATCAATGATAGATAATAATATATTGCATTGCAGTGTTTAGAAATAAAAATTATACATCGAGTTATGTTTTTTTGATTAAAAAAAAAACGAATTTTTCGAGTATTATTTTTTAGATCTTAAATAATCATTATTTTAAGTGTTTTATTTTTCATTGATTTTTATTTTTATAGGAATTCAATTTATACTAAAAACAAATATTTTTAAAGCAAGCTTTCTAAATATGACGAAATTGGACCATAAAAACTGATTTACCAAAAAAAAAAATATACCCGTGCGTCACCTATCGGCAAAATTTTATTCCTTTTCATTCAGTTAGTATACGTTCTAAATAGATTCCCAAACTTGATTTTAGACCCCTTGATGTAGACCCCTTTCAAAACTTTACTGGTTTCGGTGGACCCCCTGCTGCCCTTTCTAACATATTCCCAAAGCCCATCAAAAAATGTGAAGATAAG